CCAGGTAAGACGCTTCTGACGTTGTCTCTGGTTCAGGAGTGGCTTGACACGAGGAATGCGACATTTGTAGCCCATGTCTAGGATTCGTCTGTGCGTAGTGGCTCTTGATGCGCTGACGCCAGCCTCAGTCCACTCCTTGTGAAGCTCCCCCAAATTCTTGCTGGTGCACCTTGTCCTACCACACTTTTTCCTTCCACTCAACTTTCTATGAATTTGCTTGGATACAGCACTCTGTGAACAACCAGCTTCTTTAGCAATGAACTTTTGTTTCTCTGTTTTTGCCACACTAGGATTTACACAAGCTTCAGTCTGGATCCAGAACACCTGAGAAGAGATGATGCCAACCCCTCAGAGGACCTCAGATGATGCCAACCCAAATTTCAAGAAATAAAGGCTTGAAAAAATTTCACTCTATGTGTAATGAATCTATATAATATATGGGTTTCACTTTCTGAAATGAGTGACAAAAAATATTGACCTTTTTCATGATATTCAATTTTTTTTAGATGTACCTGTATAAGTCATTATAATCCATAATTATGTCCTCACTGCATGCAACGAATGCCTCATTTATAATGGGTTTTCATGTTTTTGAATCATCGCTCCGGCCTGACAGGGCATCATCACAATATGGTAAGGGGCGTAACATTTCCGTCACACGCTTGAGGTATTCGGCCAATCACCACGCACTGGACTCCCAACAAATCAGATGGGTGGTGGGCATAGATTGCTTTAGGCCACAGAGTGGTGAGTTCTGACAGGCTGCATCAGAGCCAAATAGCGCGTTTCAAAATTAAGTTATTTTATCGGCGAATAGGTTTTGAAAATTACCGATAATCATAAAAATTCTTAATATTGGCGCCTATAATCGGTCGACCCCTAGTCCAGATGGTGGATCAGCACCTAGAGACTACCTCTACAGCCCTGAATGTCAGAGGAGACCATGTCAACTAGATGAGCCCCAGAGACAGATCCCCTGTGAAGACCTCGTCACCTCGACGACCATCGGCACAAGACCACGGGAACCAGACAAGTCCTCTGCTAAATCTGACCTGTGTTGCAGCCTGGAATTAAACCACGCCATGCTGGTTTCGTCTGGACAGAGGAGAACTGGCCCCTGACTGAGCCTGGTTTCTCCCATGTTTTTTTTTTCTCCATTTCTGTCGCAGATGGAGTTTTGGTTCCTTGCCACTGTCGCCTTTGGCTTGCTTAGTTTGGGACACTTAATTTCTGGCAATATTGTCCACTTGATTGCACAGACACTATATGAACTGAGCTGGAAGATGACAATCACTGTTTACTATTGTCCTCTCCTCAAAGCTGCTTTGACACAATCTGTATTGTATAAAGCGCTATATAAATAAAGGTATTTATTTATCTACTTATTTATTTTCATAATTCATTACTGTTGGTCACCCTTTACGTCTATGGGTTTTGCAAATATTTAACCAATGACAAGTATTAGAAAGAGCTTGTAACTAACCCTAGCTCAAGTTTAACCTTTTCGCACGTGAGTTTAAAGGGGTCATATGATGCGATTTCATTTTTTCCTTTCTCTTAGCTGAGCCTCTGGCATGAGTTTTTTTTAGGCGACCATTATTTTAGAATGTATCACTCTACTGTTTCCATAGAGATGCGTCATGTTTATCACGTGACACACCGCAGCCACAATAGTGCTGTATGACACATGCATCGCGTTTATTTCGTTTTTCCTTTTTTATTCAAAATATTCACACGTGAGTTTAAAATATACTAGCTGAGCCTCTGGCATGAGTTTTTTTAGGCGACCATTATTTTAGAATGTATCGCTTTACTGTTTCCATAGAGATGCGTCATGTTTGTCACGTGACACACAGCAGCCACAATAGCGCTGTATGACGCATGCATCGCGTTTATTTCGTTTTTCCTTTTTTATTCAAAATATTCACACTAACGTTTTTGGTCACACCCCCCTTTAAACCTATAAAAAAAATCTGTGCCCCCCCCCCCTTCCCGAATCCCCATCCCACCTCAGACTACCAAATAATTTCACTAAACATTATGAAAAATTCATGCTTTTTTAATTTAAAAAACCTACAGGGAAAAAAACAACTGCATCACTTAAAACATTGAAAAATAGCATAGAGAGAATAACTGTTATTATTCTCTCTGTATTTATTTATTTATTTTTTGTGGGTTTCATGCTGTCCGCTAAGGCATAGGACACACACAGGCTTTCCTCCTCACCAACGACATTAAACACCGTGTCTACACCGGACGCGAGCGGCAAAATACAGTAGAAACCATTATAACCAGTGACACTGTGTACACTGGATGCGACGCGACATTAAACTGATGCCTTGTTCTATTTATGACGTACTGACAAAGTTAAAATGATTTGCAATGGTTGCTTTGCTGCGTCCAGTGTAGAGCTGTTGCGGCGCGACATGTGTAGCATCCGGTATAGACACAGTGAGTGGTGAGTGAAGCCGAGAGCAAGATATGCCTCGTCATATTTTCTGCATTTAGCTTTTGAATGACCAGCACCTGCCTGGGTCTGTGCGACTTCATCTATGGCTTTTCTCTTCCCTTTCACAAACTGATCCATCTCCCATTCTAAGTTACGTCCTTTGGCTGTTGACTGTTTTTTCTTTTCTTTTTCTACTAATGGCCCACCCCACTGCAATACTCGTACGCCCCCTCCTGGCAGACGCGCCCCACACTTTAAGAACCACTGGACTAAACTTTATAGTTACCTACACAATGTGTATATGAACGGGACTAATAGATCTGTAGGGGTGTTGATGCTAATCCACCACGGGACTCGGGTAAGAAGTGTGACAGGAGACAGGACACTGCTCAACTCTTTATCTTAAGTATTTAACTGTTCACAGCAGATGGCACAACATTGTTCCAATTGGATTGGATATTGTACAACTTATGGCCACAAAGTGTTAAATGTGGTCTTTGAAATAAACAAAATAAAACAAGCATCACTTTGCATCTGCTAAATGTAAATTACAGACATGTAAATAACAACTTGCTACTGACACGTTATACATGAATCAACATGACCAGGAAAGGATCAACAGTAGCGAGCATACGCATTTGAATCACCGTACATCTTAAATATAGCAACATTATAAACAATGTAAGGTTCGATTACACAAGATGAATATTTAAACACAACAACGAAATAACCATCGTCGACTTATAATCAGGAATAATGAAATAAACTTACATTCAATCACGCACATTAACACCTGAAGAAATGGCGGAGCAAGCGGCTAGTGAAAGTGAAAGTGAAAGTAAATCGGAATAGCGGAAACTAACGTCAACTAGCGGCACACATTCATAATAAAAGTCCTTCCACTATAAACATACATAAGGAATTTAGAACAGTATATGATATATATGTCGTCAAATTATAATTGAATGGATTATTATTTCTGCTTCCACAGACATCGGTGTGCATTTTACAAACTATAAATGAATTGTTTTGCTATTACTTATGTTTATTTAGATGTCTGAAACCTAAAATAAGCATTAAACACTGAATAGTTGTGATAATATGACGCTCAGCGTGTCCGTCTCTGGCTCAGCGCCAGGAAAAGCGCGAAAGCAGATTTTAATTCAGCAGTTGATCACGTGATGCGCTGAACGTTCTAATCACACCGGTGTGATCGTACCGTTAAAGGGTTAAATGAAGTGCCGCACACATTTTGGACCCTCTCTCTGTATGGTTTCAATGCAAGGGTAAATAAAGAAATAATGAATGGTTGTTTGAATATGTACCGGGTTTTCTCTACTCCGTAAACACTATACTTATTTTATATAATGTTTTATAGCATTTGTCATCAGTCATAGCAAGTATAGTCTTAATGGCCTGTGCCTTAGCACTTCATCTTTAATGACATGAGATTTTGGCCAAATGACAGAAAAAAATGGAGCGCCCACATTGCTCCATTAAACTTTATAACCTGTAAGTTGATGAAAACTTAGGGTGTATTCACACCAGGAAAGTCCGCTAGTTCACTTGCTTTGGTCTGGACCAAATACAATGTTGATTTTTTTTGTTTGGTGCAGTTTGCTTTCACACTGCCCTTTTTTGCAAGTGAACCAGAAATTGTAAACAAAACCACACATGTGCTAAGGTCATCCATTCATTGGACAGAAATTCTCAAGCAGGGAAAAGCAGTAAGTGCAAAAACAGGCTAATAATGGAGATCTTTCGTAGTGCAATTTTTATTCTTTTACTGATTTGGTGTTATCAGATACTGACGCAATATGAAGACAATTATGAGCATCATATGAGAAAATGTCATACGATGTTATAATTACGACTTGCCAAAAATAAAATCTATAGATATAAAATAGGCTACTTAAAGCATATCACAATGTTAGTTTAAACATTTAACCTATATAAATGTATGCTAATAGGTGCATATCCAATCGTGCGGAGAGTGGAAGCGCGCGCTTCAGGACATTTTGCTCATAAAGGTAAGAACAATACATCGTTCGGAACTGTAAAGGGTCTATTATTATTTGTGTGCACCCACAATATCAAGAAAACGTTGTGCTTTTGTAAAATAAAGAAAACAAATAGGATGCGCTTGCCGTCTCAGTCTTGAACAGGAGCGCTTCACAAAAATGTACCAAAACTCAGCGAATATTTTCCTTACAGACATGATGAATATATTTATAGAAAGCTTTAAATGACTACAAAACAAAATAATTCAAATCCAAAACAAAAACTCTTATGAAATCCGTAAAGATGCATTTTTTCTAAAAGCACGTCCAATGATGAGATGGCGAGTCAGGATCATCAACTTCATTGCGACACTGACTCATAAAACACTAGTTTATTAATAAATAATTAATATATCTCCTTACTATTTTCCCCCAACATAGTCATGGTAATTTTTGCGGCAATCTTTAGCCTATTTAGCGCGTTCACATCACGTTGCTGTGCGCCATGGTCATGAAAACTCATCATTTGCATGTGTTTTTAAGCATTGTGGTTTAAAAACAAGTGATTTAAGCCAATGAAACGCAAATAACAGCACTATATGCGCGAGCTGTCTGTTTCAGAGCGTGATTTCTGCAATTGGGTCGGATCAAGGTCAGGTCATATTCACACCTTAAACGAACCGTACCAGAGTTTGTTTGGAAGCGGAGGTCTGTGGAGGACCTCTTCAGCTGGGTCTCGGTGCGGTTGTTTGGTCCACACCCGAGTGTGATTGCTGTATTCACACCTGCCAAAAAGGTCTGCACCAAGAGGGGAAACGAATTTGAGTTTTTGCCTAACAGCGATCGTAAGTTCTACTGCATAATACATTTTTTAATAATACAGCATCATGATACACATAGTCTCACTATTAGCTTTGACTTTTAACTATTATAGTCTTTTGAAGGACAAAAACATGAACTTTAAAACTATTGGCTTTACATCAAGTCAGCTGTCACTTTATTTTGCTGCGAGGCCCTGTGCAGTCACACATTTTACACAGCCCTTGCCTGACGGATCTGCATCAAAGTACCACAAGAGCGATTGGAGAGACGGCTGATTCAGCCAGAGCAGCTTCTTTAGAGCTGCTGCAGGAGCTCTGATGACGACACACTGGTGTTTCACGATTGGCCGGATTCACCAATGACCACAATCACGTGTTTTCAGTTCATTCTGACACCTTCAGGACCACTAACGCTCACAAATCTGTATTTTTATAACAGTATAATCTCTTTTTTCATGTAATCATAATGTTAGATTGTGTCATGTTCCTCACAATAAAAGTGATACCAATTTTTTATGTAAATACACTGAACAAAATTATAAACGCAACACTTTTGTTTTTGCCCCCATTTTTCATGAGCTGAACTCAAAGATCTAAGACTTTTTCTATGTACACAAAAGGCCTATTTCTCTCAAATATTGTTCACAAATCTGTCTAGCTTAAGTTTGAACATTATTCGTGTATGTTCACATGCTCTGTATTAAGCAATAAGGTACTGAACGAAAAGCATTTCTGTTATTTGATTAAAAAATGTGCAAAATGTCTGTGTATTTGGGAATATTGCATCTAATTAACTTCATCTGTGATAAAGTATATACGTGTTGCTGCTAAACGTAGTTCAAAAGAAGCACTCGTCTTGAATCAACTTCTGATGCTACATTTACAACTGAGCTTTAGAGAAGATGTTAAAGTCACAACAGTTGTTTTCTTTAGTGAACCATTTGAGTCACACACATTCAGCTGAAATCATCTATTTTGTTGCAGTTTGTTATTTAGTGCCTGCTGGCCATTTATTTGCTCATCAAAGATCTTTAAAGGAAGAGCAAATGTAGACAGCAGCACTAACTCGACCAATATAAAGTCGATCACTCACATCGCATTTTGCAAAATACTGTTAGAATGGATAGAAATGAATGGTTTTCATTTCAGAAGTAGATACTGAGTTTAATCTTACACAAAGTAATTGTTTGTTTAGGCTACTTCTGTATTTCTTCTTCTAATTAAATGTGTGACATGTCATAATAACTGATGTCCAGTGTGGAAGTTGGATCTTCTCCGGTTGAAGGCAGGGTTAGTGTTTGTCTGGTCATGTGATCTCAACAAGTCTGTCCACACGAGGCTTCATTTCAATTAAAACCACTTTAATTATGACACTCATGTGATATTTCTGTAGAGCTGGACATTTCAATAAGGATCAAATGAGTTCAGCTTTGAGAATGAAAACCAACCTGTTTGTTCCTCAGGATCTTCATGTTTGACTTCAATCTTCACGTCGTCACTCTCCTCTTTAATAAACGCCATCTTTATTTGTTCCTCAGTATCTTTTTGTTTCACGCTGAATACTTCTACAATCCTCTTCTCTTCACTCTCCTCTTTAATAAACGCCATCTTTATAATAGTGTCACGTGGATCTCAGCTGCTTCACCAGGAGTTTTTCTGTGTTTGGACACTCTGTCCTGTTTAAGATGAGGAAAAATTAACAGAAAGAATAAATACAAAGTTCTACATCTGTGCATCTCAATCAGCTCCCTTGCTCAGTAGTCAGCGCACTAGTAAGGGAGTCAGTCACAGTGAGAGTTCATGTCCTGATGAAAAACACTCAAAACTAGCACTACAAATTAATTAAATAACAATTTATATTGAAAGTCCATAACTAGGTATTTGATTTACAATTGGTATTTAATGATTAGTTGGTCGCATTAAATTGATTACTCTCATGAGAGCATTTGTGATTAGTTTGTAAAGGTTGTAATTAGTTTTTTGAGTTTGTTCATCTCGTTGCATTTACACAGTTTTGATCAGCATGTGACGTCAGCGTGCGGAGATTCGAATCACTGAATCATTTTGCGAATCAATTCATTCAATACGAATTTTTAAGTTTAATTTCAATTTCTCCATCACCTACTCGCCAGTGACCGAATTCATGCTTATTATGAACTGATTGGGAGCGAAATGAGACGCACCTTTTCTGTTACTCATGTGCGGATGTGCTTTACTCACATAAATAATGTACATTAACGTTACATACAGCATTACATTCATATTTAATTCATTTTACAGCGCTTGTAAAAACAATAAAACAGACGGTATGCTCTGTATCGATTTAAACACTATCAATGCTAAAACACAAACCTTTCTTCAGCCGAATCACAAACACTGGAGCGCGGCGCAGCCTTGTGACGTCACATCGTCAGCCCAAAATAAAAGTCCGGTATGGTGTATAGAAATGTACTTACAGAAAACATAGATAAAAGAGAGTAATATGTGAAATTCTGTTGAAAATGCCAACAAGTCATATTTAAGTGCATAAACCATTCATTACAGGGGTTGCGAACAAGCCAATTAAAACTGTTTGATGCATTTTTTCGATAGAACCATAGCAAAAACGATTTAATAATAATAATAATAATAAATTCAAACATACATATTATATACATATATTTATACACACACACATATAATATATATATATATATATACACACACACACACACACACACAAAAGAATATGGTCTAGAGTTGTGCAGTAGGGTTTTTAACAGAGAGAAACCTTCAGGGCCCTCAGAGAGAGCCTAAACTATTGTAAAAACAATATTTGAAATTTTAAAATTATTTTTTTTGTTACAAACTTTTAAATATTATTTGAATAAAAAGTTATAATTTCTAATTTTATTTAAGCAATTCGTAATTTGACAATCAACATCTAAATGAAATAAATACAATTTCTGTGGAAATAAACTCTTCAAATATGCTTGCTCAGTTTGTGTTGAAATGTGAAGGAATAAATTAAAGATGCCCATCTCCTTATTAGAATGTTTCCACCTAAAGCTTACGGCTCTGTGATTGGTGGTCCAGCTATGAAATTACAGAGGGCCAAGGCAAACAATAGTCGATGGGAGAGTAATTTCAAATGACAGAAAACTGACCAATCATATCTTTCCTCTAAATGGGTGGGGCTTGTTACCGCTAACTTTATGAAAAGTTTCGCCCACTGTAAAAAAAAAAAAAAATTACAAATAAAAGCGGATAACTGTGGAATAGACTGCTATTCACTTCACGATGGAAGCCGCAAATAACGTAATTGAGGACATTCAACAGGCCGCTGTGCCAATTTAATAATATCATCAACAATACATGTTTGTCATGACGTCTGTCACTAATTTGCTTTGTTTTGTGTGCTGTCATGATGTTGGTTTTGTGTGTCTGCTGTCCATGTTCTGCTGAAGTTCACAGATCAATTGTGTGATGTTGCAATTATTTGTAAGGAAGGTTTACACTTGACTTAAACTTAGCTATGTTTTATTTGGTGGTATTAGTCACTCTTGCTGTGCTGTTTTCTGGCTGCATTTCTAACAGGCGCTTGCACACCGAACAACTCACTGGTAATCGCACACCGGACGCCTAGCGTTCAGTTCAAGATGGCAAGATGATGAGCAAGTGCTGTCGATGAGTTTGAAGTTCAGTGTTTGAAGAAACAGATCAAACAGAATGACAAAGTGCGATCTATTGTAATCTGTATGAAGCACAGACTTTATTAGAGATTCAGAAAGACAAACGTTTTGTTGGAAAAATGCTTTGCACATTTTGTGCAAAAAATCCTTAACTGTGTGGTGTCATTACAATTATTTTATTGCTTCCGATCAAGTGTGAGTCTCTCCGATCCCAAATCATACATATCGAACATGTTTTATATTTACAACTCTTGATCAGGCTGCCTCTGACAGGGTAACTTCAATAGCCAATGAGAGCGAGCAAGCTTCACCCACCGAATGTTGCTTGCTTTTATGGCTTATTTGTTTTTCTTCTGAAGTCATGTTTGATCACACAAGTTTTTGTGAGATCTCATGTCTGTGGAATTTTAATGCTCATTTGAGATGAGCAAAATCTGCGTAGAACCGATCACCGGTGACCATCGCGAGATGCATGTCAATTAGAAATGTGTCTTGAGCATTTTAATGCTGACATGTGCCTAAAAACACTTGCGATGGCGAAGCGGCTGTGTCGAATTGCGAATTGCTCTCCACCTACTGCACTGATCAAAAGCACGATGGGAAATGACTGGCTGATGACAGCTTAATGCTCATTGGCTAAGAATGTCAGCTGGTAATTTTTTTTCTTTTTAAAGTCCATTACCTATAATACTTTTGTTTTTTGCAATTTATATGTGGAAAAAACACACCTATGTAAAATCAGGCATACTGTAAGTTAATATATTTCAAATTATTAATTGAACATGTGCTTTATTTAGTTTGTTTTTCCTTTTATTTATTTTTTCTCAGTTTGAAGTCCTGTTTGTTGTTATTTTTTCTTCAATGTATTGGATGCTTGTGTTCATTTCGTAAATTGTAATTTTTTTTTACAACACTATTCCATGAAATAAATTAGTCAATCCAACAGTACATATATGCATACATACATATGTAACATACATACATATATCTGTAGGGTTTTTCAGCTCAAAAAGGGAAATATTTATGACTAATTATAACTGGTTATGATTAATAATAAATATTTAGATTAGATCTTTGAATTAACTGTAGCAGAATCAATATTACCATTACTTGATCTGTCCGTCCACCGAGCAGACAAAATAATCATTTATCAATTCAAAGAAAGATTATTTTCCTGGCCAAGGAAGAATAACTGTCCTTCTTTATGCAGTGCTAGCAGTAATTTAACAAATGTAGCAAGGGTTGGAACATTCATTGACTTGAACTGTGAGCAGCAACAGAGACAATCATGTGTGAATATAAGGGATTTAATAAATGAAACTATATATAACATATAACTAACCATAAAACCCCAAAGATCATGCATGATTCTACGCAGACGCTACAATCTAATGGGATTGTTTTACAATTAGGCCTCATCTTTGTGTGGTTTTATCTGAGAAGTGACTGGGGGACGTCGAAGATCTCGATGAAAAAGAAGTTCCCTTTCAAGAGGGTCTCTCGAGGTGCATTGGGGAAACACCTTTCTCCTCAAATACTGAAGCCTTATTCGTTTAACGCCATTGCATTGCAATGGCCAATGGTGCTTGACTGCGCGAAAAGGGGGCGGGAAAGCGCCCTATATAAGCGGCGCCGAGTGGCATTTCATCAGAATCTTTCTCCTTCATTATAATGCTTCGCCGTTGATTCATCGCCAAAGAGGATTGTGGAATATGCTTTGCTAATCCCTTTACGCGTTCCGGTAGAGAATGGATTGAAGATATCATTTAGGTTTATCTGATCTGCGTGGATCCCCGACGGACTCGAACTATGCATCTTCTGCCTGGCCGCGCCCACGCAGAAGCCTCCACTGAGGGCCCTAACTGCCCGCATTGCGATGCTAAAAAACTTAGGGTCCGAATTCACTGGGATCGGTTAGCCTTCGTGCAGCTGCTCTCTTCAAGCAGCTGAGGAAGAATAATGACACAGATCCTGCTGGCCCCCTACGCTCTGAACGTGCTAATGATCAAACAGCTCACCGCCTCAGCGGCGTTCTGTATTGTACAAAGCACAAAATATCCTAGCCAAGGCGCTTCAGCCGCTCACATGACATATATCAATGCCCTGCCTCAGCGCAGCATTTTGCCTGCTAGATCGCAGATTACTCCAGTCATATAAACAGCTCCCCCGACCCAGTGACTAGCTATCATGTACAAAGCAGCTTCAGCATTCATGAGGTTATGACGTATCACCCTATAAACACCAGCTAAGCAGTTGTTTTTAGTAGCGGAGTGTATTGCTTGTCTATACTAACCACCTGAAACTCTGGCGCTCTCACTGACCTCCTATGATATGCACCGGTGCTGTGCCGCTGTATTCATCAGGATGTGTAGTGCCGTTTACACTCTATATATGTTACTATGTTCGCGTTTGAAAGCGGGTGACTTCGAGCGGGTACAGAATTGAGTTGGTTACTACTGGCACTGTAAAAAGACAATCCCCCCCCAAACAATTTTTGAATTCAAAACGAGTTTGCATCCCTGTATATATGCCGGCGCTGACGCTGTGTCTTTCATGCAGATGTATAGTGTAGCTTCACTGACCACTATATATGCCGCCGCTGCCATGCAGGTAGGTAGTGTTGCTACTGTTATATTTGCGGGCACTGGCACTGCCACAGCGCGTTAATATACTATGAGTAGCACCGGCTGTGCCGCTGACTCTTCTTACAGATGTGTAGTGTTGCTTACATTGAACGTTATATCAACTGGCGTTACAGCTAGCATAGCTATGTGCGACTGCATGTAATCTAGCCCAACTTCAAGACTCTTGCATAGAGCATGAGCCAGCTGCAAAACCAAAGAACTCGTGGAAAAATCCGTTCACACAACGAGGATTGTGCCGCAAAGCATTGTAGTTGGATCGACAGTAAAGTCTACCCGATATTTTACTGTTCTCTCGGTTTCACTGATTATTGCGGGCACTATCACTGGTTGTCTTTGTGCTATGGATGTTCCACTGTGCAGTGCGACAAGTTGCAAGAAAGAATACAGGAGATACTAGTCTGTAGCCTATCAAAAAAAGTGCTCTCCCTTAAGACAATTATTGTCGCTATTGCTTATGCTTGTTTCTGTTAAGTGAGTGGATGATATGGACGCTCTCTCTGTCAGCGAGTCATGTACAGTTTTCAGACCTAATGACTGTAAGTTGTGCTTAAACCGAGAAAGGGTTACATATCCAAGGTGCTCTCAACGGCTTTCAGAGCCTAGGTGATATCTCTCTCAGCTTTTGCTCTGAGCGAGTGTGCGGTGGGGGAGAGCCTCACCTGCAGCCTCCCTGCCCTGTGCGCGCTTTCCGCATTTATGTGAATAAAAAAAAAACATTCCAAAAACAAACTACTGGTGTGCAAGCCGACTATACGAGAGACATGCCTCGTCATGGTCTAAAGGGATATCTATTGAGGATATACAGTATCTCACAGAAGTGAGTACACCCCTCACATTTTTGTCCCTCTACGGACACAATGAAGCTTGAGTCGCCATTGGCTAGTACATTTTTTATTTTACTCACCAGACTTTTTACATGAAATGCATGAACGATGCAACTGAACAAAAAAAAGTAAATAAATAAATTAAACAAAACATACTTTGTCTCATTAGACACTCGCCTTTTCAAGCGTCTCCATTCCCCAGGGATTTCTTCAACTTGACATCCAGATTGAACAAGCTTCTCTCTGAACCATTCAGTGAGTACCTT